CAAGGAAAGCGGTAGTTTACCGATTTGTATTCGCAGATTTTAACGCTCTTCTTTGTTATTTATGCTTTGCGAAGGAGATTTTCGTCCCCAAGAGATTTATTGTTTGAGATTCAGAAGCAGGATGTGTGTGATTCTACCTCTTTCCATGTTCTTTCATTGCAGAGAGCGTGTGTGGAAAAGAAATAATGAGTCGGGAGGGAGAAGGGGGGGGAAGGGAAGGTGTGTAATTTCCTCGGGGGGGGATTTCTTGCTGTTTATTTGTAACATGGGACTCTTAACGATTAAAAAGAAAAAAAATGCAAAGGATATGGTCTGCTGGCAGGCATCATGTCTTTTTATGCCATCTTTTTATGTGAGTTTATTATAGGTCTTATGTCTGCCATTGTACTAAAACAGACTATGGGTAAAACCCAGTAACATGTATTTAGAGGTTTTGAGTAATTTCAGAAATAACTTTAAATAATGGAAGAGGAGTTGTTGGTAGTGAACAGTAACGTGAGACGCGAGCATCTGTGGGAACTATCCTTTTATAAATGTCACGTTTATGTTCTTCTGCTTAGTGAGGCTGATCTGGGGATTAAAAAGAAGTCTTCCTTGTCAAGACAAAGGGTATGGAGATAGCACGGGTGCTTTTCAATTAGATTGAGGGAACATCACAGCAACTTTATACCCTGTGGAACAGCTGCACTAAGAATAATCCTTGGGTTTTGAAGAAGGTCTGTGCTGGGCTGACTGTGAACTTCACAGCTGCAGCCTGATGCCAAAGTTAACAGCTGAGGAAAAACAAGACCGAGTTATTTGCTCTCCTCGGGTAACTATAACAGATGGAATATGGGCGCAACAGGTATGTGACTGGCAGGTGTCTCCCCAGCTCCTCTCTGCTGATGATGACAAGTGTTACTCTCATCCCATCCTAGGTCTCATCAACATTGCTCTCTCCTGGGTGGGTCTGGCAGTGGTGCAGGTGCTACTGGTGATGGCAGGCCTAGAATGGGTGAGTGCTCTGGAGGAGCCTCGGGAGGCGCTGATCAGTCCCATTTGCACTTTCTGCAACTGGAGAGTGGCAGACCAGCCATGGCAGAAAACTGATCTGAAACTGCTCAGGGAAAATACCCAAAGCAGCTGCCCCCAGACAGAATGCTTAGGGACAGAATGCAAGCATGTCAAGGAGTGAGACAGACTGTCATGTTTTATATCACTTTCAATGTACCTGCTGTGTGTCTAGGAAAGGGCATGACCCTGATCTCCAGGGCGTTATCCAGCACCTGGCAGTAATGCTGTGGCATGCCCGTGCAAAAAACAAGTAGCAGGCAAGCCATGGACCTACCTGCCTGTTTGCTCAAAGCAGCGCTGACATCTCATTGGGTTCTTCTCACCTGCACAAAACCTAACTTTGCTTTGTATTTTTACTGTAGAAAAGACAGCATGAAGCAATAGCTGCAGCAGTAAAAGTACACTCTTGTAACTTGCAAGTGGTGCAGCCTTGGGCAAGTCAGTTCTGTCTGAGCCCTTTACCCTTTATTTGCCTCAGCTGTTCAGACTGTAAGCTCTTCAGGGTTGTGGCTGTCACTGTGTATTTATAGACCACGTATCAAAGGTGCAGAAAATTACCATTTGACTATCACGATACTTATGCAAAAACCAATAAATTTATAAAGGTATCAGTAAGCAACAGCATTATTACAGCTCCTTATCCCTTCATCTCCCCCTTCATCATTTCCTGCTTTTACTCAGAAGCCTCCCTTTCTCCTTGAACCATTTCCAGCCCAACCTCAACCCTCTCTTTCTGGCCTGTTTAAAGGAATGCTATGTATAAGAAATGAATTATGCCTCTGGTTTCTGCAGTCCTGCTTTGTCCACCTATTGCACTGATTGTTACTGACAGGCCTAGCACTCCTAGCATTGTGTGATCCAGTGGATATTCTGATTTTTCCCATGGAAACTGAGTATTGAAATCTGCTGCAAAGTCATAGGTAAAAAAGAAGATTGCAAAATCATTAGGTAGCTTTAACAGAGTTGATATCTTGCTAAATCAGTCCGTAGGCCATATCCTTGATTTAATTTGATAGATGAAAATAATTCAAATGGAATTCACTAGTGATGAATTTATCCCTGGGAGGGCAATGTTAGGAAAGGAGGTAAATCCGCTCAATAATTGTGTAAGCACTCAGCTACTCTGAATTTGTTCAGCCATTTTAAAACAATTTATTTGGTGTGGGCGTGCTAAAGAATCAGAACAGACATTATTTTCATTACTTCCTTATGTTACGCCATTTCCTTAAATGAATAATCATAGCTGAATGTATAGCGAACTGCAGATGATTAGTAGGTTTGAAGGCAGGACCTTCGGTGTTAGAATGAAGGAGCTAAGGGGCAAATTCTGTTTGGAAAACTTGCACAATTAGCCTTCTTAGGCCATGCACGTGAGGACTGGCATCTTCATGTCACTACAGTGACATACTACGTACTCCACAGTGCTAGATAAGCTCATCAGAGACTTCTATGAGCTCAAGCCACTGAATACTGATTGTAGCTTTTGATAATAAATTGTGGCTATCCAACTGCCATGATGGCTGTAATGTAGAGATTAAATGTACAGCCTTCATCTTGAATGTCTGAATTTTCGTGATACTTGGGCATAAACCAAAGTTGTACGTGACCCTAATTTGTTTTTCATAGCCACTTACATGCTTGCAGCTTGATACCTCCAATTCTTACATAGGATGAAGTGAATGGGTGGTCCCATTTACCTTGGAAACAATTTCATTACTTTATGACTTTACACATTAAAGGGACAGGTAATATTACCTCATAAAATAGGGCACCTGTTGTAGAAGGGCAGTTTAGCAAATATTACCATATGCTATTGCAGATGAAAATCCACCGTTACGCTTATGGAAAGGCCTAATGTTGCCCTTTGGTGTGTACATCAAATGGTCCAAAAGAGTTAACATGAACTAAATAATTGAAACTATCTTTAAAACGATCAAGAACTTTTACCCGTCTGTCTTTTGTGCATCTTGGCCCGTAGTTTATTACTGTTTTTACAAACTAATGTCATAATACCCTTACAACAGAGTTACTCATTTACTTTCTTCCCTTGAGGCCTGCAGTTTGTTCCAAGTTTTATTTTAGAGTATACCTGATGCATTAATGAAGTGCAGCATATGACTTCTTGGTAGGTACACAGCTATTGCTAATTCAGTTTGCCTATTAGAGCATTTCACACAATATTTAATAAAAACACTCTTAGTAAGCACAGAAAATACTTTGTTTTTCCTGGTATATGAATAGGGTTTAATTCCACAAGGTTCTGATTGTGTTAATTTCCACTAACATTCAGAGAGATCAGCGCCACACAAGTCATGTCCACTTGTTTAATTTTATTTAGAGTGTTGTCTTAGGGGTCATCACTTCTGTAATAAACACTTGAATTTGCATTACCCTTACTGAGAGTGAACTTTTTTAAACTTCGACACTGAGAGGCTGTGGGAACTGGGTTTGTTCAGTCTGGAGAAGAGGAGGCTTTAGGGTGGCGTAATAGCAGCCTTCCAAAATCTAGAGGAAAATCAAGGAGATGGGGCCGGGCTCAGCAGTGATGTATGGTAGGAGGATAAGAGACAATGGCATAAATTGAGATGAAAGAGGTTGGGACTGGATATAAGGAAAAAATTTCCCCTGCAAGGACAGTCAGGCAGTGGAACAGGTTGCCAAGAGAGGCTGTGCAGTCTCCATCCTTGGGAGTTCTGAAGACCCAGCTGGATAAAGCCTTGAGAAACCTGGTCTGAGCTCAGAGCTGACCCTGCTTTGAGCAGGAGGTTGGACTAGAGACCTCCTGAGGCCCCTTATAGCCTGGATTTTCCTATGGTCCTGGAAAAAAGCTTATGAACTAAGACTTTTTTTTTAATCCAGTCTTAGTCTTTGACACAGTAGTGTGGATCAGTACATGTTTGTCCAGAGGTCTGCTTGCTAGGCTTTTAACAGTACAAAGAACTCTGTGCAAAGTTGGTCTTTAAAGTCACCAGTATAGGCAGATTTCTTTGCAGAAGGTAATTTCTTTAGCATGTCAGTATAGTAGTAACATTTTGTTCCTCTCTATTATCTTGAGGAACTCCAAGTGCTTAACAGAAGAGGTTGAACAGTAATGTTGGTGCAAGTCTCTTCACAAAAATGCTACTTTCTTTGGACCCTTTGGAGTTTGTTTGTTGGGGGTTTTGGGGTGGTTTTGTTTTTTGGGTGGGTTCCCCCCCCCGGGAGCCTTGTTGCTTTAATTACCTCATTAGGATCCATGGTAAGGTTTATCAATACTCCATCAGTGTGCCTACCGCTGAGCCAGGAAAGAGGACTGTACCTCATTCCTACACTCTCAATACCTTCCCTCTAAGTACTGTACTTTCTTTCCCCATCTGCATTGGAGAGCCAAGCTAGTACTTTTTCTCATAATCAGAATACATCCTGGGTTTGCTAGACTTTTTTTTTTTCTTCTTACCATGTATTTTAAGAATAATTCTTTAAACAAGGATCATTGTACCCGTAGGCACTGGCCATGGGAAGGGAAGGGGTATGTCCAAACTCCTAGGGCAGTTACTAATGTCAAGGGAAAGTTAAGGGGATATCTCAGGGATTCAAACATCTTTTTCTTAAGGTTGGTGTTTTTATAATACCGCTGGCTTTTTAAAAAATAACAGCTTCTTGTTGGTTTTGAAATGAATTCGCGAAGTCATCTTTTTACTTCTTTTCAATGCAACTGACTGCAAGTAAAGTTCAATGCACTGTTAGAATTCTTACAACTTTTGAAAAGGTTCTGTCTAGTAGCTTTCACTTCTGTAATATTTGATGCTAAATTTTCTAAATTGTGTAATTTTTCCTTTGATATGTGGAGAATAAAACACTGGCAAAACTATATGAAGTACTGAAAAAAAGGAGACCTTTCTGATTTTCTGGAATGTGAACTTTAAATTACTGTATCTTAAATATAATATACCATACAAAATTGCATATTCTACTCTTAAAACAATATTATTAATTCACAAGCTTTTATACAACTGCATATCATCATGCAATTCATTAAAAAACACATCAAGTCCACTTAAAATCAGCAGTAATAGTATAATTTCTGTTGATGCACGGAGTTTCTCACCCTCCAGTAAAATAAAGGAAATTCTTAATCAAAACAATATGGGGAAGAAACCTTTGTAGCAAATTTTAATACTTGCAGTATCCTCAACATATTTAGCAGGCTAGTTGTTAAGTAAGTTTCTTACCAGATGCATGATGCAGGTTTTACTTCCCTGATTTTAAAGTTTGAGGAAACAGGTGGAGAGGTTAAGTTTTTGATCCTGGATGAATAAAAATGCTTTTTTATAGGTCATTTTTTTGATAGGATCTATAGTTTTACAACATTCAAAAGTACCATAATAATTTTTGAGAACAGAACATGAAGATTTATTAAGATCATCGAATTATGAAGGTCCCAGTCAGTGCTAGTGTGAAGAGTCAAAACCGTAAGTCCTGAATCCTGCCCTATACGGTGGCAGTGTCTACTTAAAACTCAATAAAACCCTTCCTAATTGCTAGAAAGTATTGCCTGAAGTATAGGGGGTGAAAGCTGTAAAAAATGAATAGTTGTGTAGTAGTATAGAAGTGTAATGTGAGCCAAGTTTGTTCCTTACACAACATGAAGTAGTAGTTGTAGCATAGGGTATTACAGCACACAGTGGCTAAGCAGCCACAATTTTTGCCACAGCTGTACAGCTGCATGTATACATGCATGCACGCAGGAAAAAAAAATCATACTGTATTCACATGCTCGTATATTTGAGGCATTTATCCATCATGAGTACATCATTTGTTTTTTAAGCAAGTATGGTGGTTAGATACGCTGTAACCTATTTATATGTGCATGGGAACTAAATTGCAGACTCTGCCTTAAACTGGATTAACTGTCTTTAGAAACAGAAGTGCAGTTTGCGAGACAAATGAAACAGTTTCCCA